TGTGTTCTCTGAAGGAGTAGGAAACAGGGAGCAGCGTATCTACCTGTGGTTCGATCCCACTGCTGATTACCATGAGTACGGAATCCTGTGGAACCAGGACCTCATTCTGTGAGTATCTGCACAGACAGTAATCTATTTTCTTCCTGGAATTATCGAATGTGGTCCTTTACGCCGTCGACAACCTCCAATTGAGTACGTGATTCACTGAGTCAGCCTTTTTCGAAAAACTGAGGTGTTCTGTACCAATGCTTCTGCAGGTTTTTGGTCGACAGCCGCGTCATCAGGGTCTTCCACAACGCAGCAGATCTCGGCATTCCCTACTTGAATTATCAACCTATGTATATCTATTCCAGCATCTGGAACGGAGAATCGTGGGCGACTTGTGGTGGTGGAGTGAAAACCGACTGGAGCCTTCAGCCTTTCCTTGCATCTTACACCAATTTTAACGTCTGGAATGCTTGTGAGATGAGGGATCACACAGTGAGCTCTTCACATGCTTGCTATCAAAAGCTGTACAGCAGCTCATATGGTCAGGCCCCCAACCTAGCTCTAACACAATCTCAGATTGACGATCTGAGGTGGATTAAGTACAATTATGTGATCTACGATTATTGCACCGATCTGAAGAGATTCAACTGGACCGCTCCCCCAGAGTGTGCCAGAAACTGGCCTTAGAATTTTAGATTGGAAGGTTCTGGATAACTCTATGAATTTAGACAACATTCTTCACATCACCGAGATTTATTATTTTGACAATCACTCGTGTAACACAGAGAGTGCAATGACTTGCTAGTAGGATAATAGTTTGAATCATTCAAGGATCTCAGTCGCCGCAGACACGTAACCGCCTCTAGAAGTATTACGTGTGCCTGAATTTCCGAGAAATATGTGAAATCATTTTTTTCCAAGGTGACAGTAAAGACCATGTTCATGTTCAATCGCCCGAGAGTCGAAATTGTCCTTGAAGCATGCATGCCATGGGGGTGTTTTGTGCTTCTTTGGTATGAGAAGAATTTTCATGTTGATGGACAGGCGATTTTTTTCCCTACCTGACGAGAAAAACCAAAGTCGAGAAACAACCGAGTGTTAAAGTTCTAGATCGTCGCATGATTTTCTCACTTCCTATCTCAACGCTTTGCTTGTCATAGCCTTCTCTAGACTACCGAAAATTCGGACTTTTGAGGGTCCGGTGGTATTTGCCACGTCCGATTCAAAGTCTCTGTTTAGATGAGGAAATTCCCAAAGGCAGAGGGGACTCTCCGACAAAACCACTGAACTCTGGAGATTGGAGCGAAGTGATTGAGTACAATCGAGTAGGAGGCAAAGTTAGAGTGTGAGTGAAGCTGGGAAGTCAGATTGAAAGAAGAGGAGTAAGTTAAAACAGATTGAGTATCACTCTAAAATTTAATTCGAAGACCTCAAGTCGAATGATGAAGTCATCAAAGGATAAGAAGTAACTAATTATTTCATACTTCGTTCTCCGATAAGTTGAAGAATGTGATGGTCATACTTTGATAGAGATCTACAAATTGAGAAGAATAGTCAAAGCCGTTGGAGCAACTTCAAGATAATTTACACTCATGTTGATTGAACAACAAATTAAGACAGATATACACATCCATCGGTCTTGAATTCAAGGAAGGGATGCAAATTTATCAAAATTAGATATTTTATAAAACATATGTAAGTTGCAAGTGAGCGATGATAGGATTGCAAAATCTTTCTCAGAAGTTTAACATTGCTACGCAGCAAATGAAAAAGATGTAGGTATTGGTAGCGGTTAGAGATAGTCATATATAATAATTTTTTTATATGCGATTAGATTGAGTGAAGAGAGTTCATCTTTTTTTGCATTGGAAATGTATGTGAGTTGAAAGTGTTTTTCAGATATGCAATTTCATTGCTTAAAATTAGAAGAAGCTCCAAAAATACATAAACTTCAAATTAAGCTACTACAGCACCCAGAGGTTTTTGTAATCGAAAAGAAGCAACACAACAAAATAATATACCTGATATTTAAAATATGATGATCGGATTATATTTTTGGTTTATAAAATTTGAATTTTCTTGTGCTTTTTAAGCACTATGATTATACAAAATACAACACAAAATAAAAAATCCAAATTAGTGTAATGCTAGAGTTGTAGCTAAAAATTAATATTGACAATGAATTTTAGCCAGAAAATAACTCAAATTTTTCATATTTATTGATTATTTTTTCAATATTGTATTGATGGTTAATGAAAAAATAATTTCCACGATTGAATTAAAAACATTATATGTGAAAAGTGGAGATTTTGGAAATTTAAAAATACTAATAATCAAGTTAACTATTTGATTACTTAGTTGCTTAAACTGAATGCAAGTGACCAAAATATTTAATTTTACTGCATGAATTAAACATGAAGATAGAGCAAGTTGAAAGATATACTATAAAGTTATTTTGTCACATTTTTATAGGCAAATCAATACGTATTTGTCTTTTACTCTACATTTTCATTAATACTCTTGTGATGACAGCTTTAGTGTAAAAAAAATATTACTATTATAATTTTTTCGTTATTTTAAGAGAAAGAAATGAGACTCAATAACAAATAATTTTTGGATGTTTTTTCATTTTCACATTAGTTATAGAATTTAACAAAATCTTAAGTAGATTTAAGTTAAAAGCCATGAGACAAACAATTTCTTTTTTTTCAACTTGATCCTCACTAACATATATTGAAGATAAGATCTCACTACCATAAGTTTCCACATATTATGTGTTTAGATGATGTGGCATACATCAGTATAGCACAATTGTTTACTGGTGTATAAATTGAACTCACACACTAACAATTATAACTAAAACATAACGTTATAAGCATTTAAATCATTTGCATGCTATCTTTAAATAATCCAGAAACCAATCTTACCACTGCTATCATGGTTTGCTTATGTTTTAAAACTTGTGCAAGATTGTGAATCTTTACTCAATCATGATTCTTCCTCCACTTGAGCCAGTTGATTTTTTAAAGTAAATAAGGTTTTCTATTAGTTTGATTTTGTTTTTTATTGTCTGACTTGTTGATCATTTAACCGGAGAGAGAATAACAATATCCATGATATCTAAAGGTATGATGTTTGACATGGCTTGCGAGTACATGGAAGTATCATTGATATCCATTGTATTAGACTAGGGTCTAGAGCAGACCTCAGTAAAAGTGGCATTTTAGGAAAAATGTCATCTTTGCCACAATTAAAATTGGGCCGATGCCACAATTAAGTTTTTTTAGCGACTCTTTGGTTACAATTGAACTTTAGGGCGTTTCAAGAGTTTGCAAGCCCTGCCTAAAGTTTACGAAGTGCTCGGCTGACAACGGATGAATGTTATTATCCCAAGCAAGCAATAGACCGCATTGAAGTCAGTAAGTGACTGGAAAGTTAGTAAGTGATTGTATTTGTGTTTTGAGCCGATTATGGACAGAAGTCGAAATAATGCATAATCACTTGATGGATGTAATTTTAAAAAGAAATGATACACCTTGAGAGTTTTCTAATACTCTAATGTAAGAATATTGTGGTCCTGAAACCAAGTTTCTCTCCAGTCCTAGGATCGAAGACAGGTGATGTTACTCATCTTCAACTGAGGTTTTGAGGAGGAATACAATTTACGTCTCGTGGATTTTGAAATTTGGCACTATTCAGTTGAAGTCTAATATCTTCATGGTTAGAATCAAGAACCTTGAACCCATTTCTTCTCAAAGTACTAGCTCTTTGTGCTTTGAGTATCCTCACGATGAATAATCATGCGATCTGTTCATGGACTCGTCTAAATTTTTGTTAGCTTTCGATGGCTATAGCTGTCCCTTGAGGGCGGAACCTAAGTTAGCCACAACGTAGAAACAACCCTGCTTGCATTTATCGTAAAATAATTTCAATCTCTTATGGTTTCAAGACTGCCACAAAAGTTTTTCTATACAAATGCCACTTTAAAGAAAATTTGGGTGCCACAATTAAAGAAAAGTGGCAAATGCCACTTTTAATGAGGTCTGGTGTAGAGGCATATGGCCATAAATTCTAAACATTTGTTTTTCTTTAGAGTGAATTTTTTAAAAATTGAGGGATAAAAGAGTGTCTTTAAGAATATGATAAGTGTAAGGATTGAGCAAATGTTGTTACAACGTCCACACAAGAAAGACGGCCCGTTAGAGTTCACAAAGTTAGAGTCAGAAAGTAAATCAGCAAAAACGGAAGAAACCTCGAGGAGTATGCAAAGAACGTACGCAAGAGTTGATAATTGAGTCAACATGAGAAAGCGAAGTTAGAGTCTAAAGCAAGAAGGATTCCAGTTGGGCTAAAAATGGCAAAGGGGGGATTGGTCCTTTAATCATGATGGCAGATTGAACTCCGGCGGAGTTGTTAAGGCTGCTAAACCTGGGACGAGAGTTTATGTCATGGCGATGAGACTATCTGTGCCCGGAGTACAAGGTTACTTGCTGTTGCATGAGGGATGCTTACGGACGATCTACATGTGACATATTTTCACAGTGATCGCACAGTAACCACCACATCGGTCGAGGAAAGATTCACTCGGTATCATACTGAGCTTAAGTTCCCGAGGGTTAGAGAAAAAAATTACTCTGTCTGAAGAAGAGCAGTCTTATTTCCCGGAGTCCATGAGCATGATATAACTGGAATTTTCTTCGAAGTTTTGAGATAGCTTGCGAAGGAAGTCGACATCAAAAGCACGTCCATGAAAGGCTACGTACAGCAAGGATTCGTCAAAAACCGGTCCTGCTGTCCGAGAATTTTGCTCCTACTTACACGGAGATAAGCACTAGACAGAACTTCATTCTAACCACCCGGCCTGGATGCAACCTTCCTTCTCGACCACTTGTGATAGCATCAGGCGAAGTGAGGTGGCTATCGCTGCGGCTCACTTTCTGGGCTTTTTTTGGAGTCTCCAAAGTGTATATAATACTCATTCTTCGAGAGTTTCAACATCATTCAAATCTTCTGGACTCGTGCTTCTCCTTCACTATCAAGTCCAGAAGCTTGAATTAGGAGACCAAGATCAACTTGCTCTAGAGACAGGTTTTCATAAGTCTGTATGTTTTGGAAGCCGTTACAATGAAATTGAGTTTCATTCTCCTGGTTCTGGCTGCAACATCCATCGTGGTCGTGCAAGGATCGAAGTTTTGGGATGATTTTTACGTCAATTTTGGAGATTGCAATGTGCAGTATCCAGGATATGATACTGGAAGTACCATTGCTTTGGGTTTAGACAACACCACTGGTACTGTTCTTGCTGTTGGAGGGATGATCAAATTGTTTGTTGAAAGTTGGTTCACCTGCCTGAGCCATTCTTGTCATGACAAAGCAATTCATTTCACATGAATTTGGAGTATGAAGCTTGATTATTGTGTGTTGCAGGATCTGGATTCCAGTCGAAGTACCCTTACTTGTATGGGAACCTCTCCATGAAGCTCAAGCTTGTTGGAGGCGATTCTGCCGGAACTGTTACTTCCTACTATGTGAGAAAAACCTGCTATATAATGATGCTTACTTTCTCAAGTCCAAAATATCAACTGGAATCTGTTACGAGTTCAGTGAACACGCGTAAAATTTTTGTAATTGGCATTTGCATTATATTTTGTATTGCTCCGCCGTACCGATCTGCATCTAGCACATGATATTCACAGCACAAAGCGCTGAAGTTGACTCTGAAGCTAACACATACATAGCCTGTCTCATCCTGCGATTAATTTGTTGTCTCTAATAAATTCATACAATCTATTCGTTAGAAGATTCTAACATTCACAACTTCATGTTTGTCGATCCAATGCAGATGGCTTCCGAAAGAACCCAGTTTCCAAAGTGGTGTGAGCTAGACTTTGAATTTTTGGGAAATGCTTCAGGAGAGCCTTACATTCTGCAGACGAATGTGTTTTCTGAAGGAGTAGGAAACAGGGAGCAGCGTATATACCTCTGGTTCGATCCCACTGCTGACTACCATGAGTATGGTATCTTGTGGAACCAGGACCTCATTCTGTAAGTATCTGTACAGACTGTAGACTATCTTCTCCCTTCAGTTTTCACATGTTGTACTCTTAGCCATCGACAACGTCCAAGCGTTTTTCACCAAGTCACCTAGTAGTGCTTCACCGAGTCAGCGTTTTTCGATAAACTGAGGTGTTCTAAACGAATGCTTCTGCAGGTTTTTGGTTGACAGCCGCGTCATCAGGGTCTTCCACAACGCAGCAGATCTCGGCATTCCTTACTTGGATTATCAACCGATGTACATCTATTCCAGCATCTGGAATGGAGAATCGTGGGCGACTTGTGGTGGTGGAGTGAAAACCGACTGGAGCCTTCAGCCTTTCCTTGCATCTTACACCAATTTCAACGTCTGGAATGCTTGTGAGATGAGGGATTACACAGTGAGCTCTTCACATGCTTGCTATCAAAAGCTGTACAGCAGCTCATATGGTCAGGCCCCCAACCTAGCTCTGACACAATCTCAGATTGACGATCTGAGGTGGATTAAGTACAATTATGTGATCTACGATTATTGCACTGATCTGAAGAGATTCAACTGGACCGCTCCCCCAGAGTGTGCCAGAAACTGGCCTTAGATTTATAGATTGGAAAGTTCTCAATTAACTCTATGAATTTAGACACCATTCTTCTTATCACTGACATTCAACATTTTTTACTATCTCTTGTGTATACACCAGAGTTCGATGACTTAGTAGTTGGAGAATAGTTTGAATCATATAAGGATATCAATCCGGGCAGACACGCTATCGCCTCTAGAGGTAATACGTGTGCCTAAGTTTCCAAGAACATATGTGAATTCATTTTTGTCGAAGATGACAGTAAAGACCATGTTCTATGGCCAGAGATTCAATGATATCGTGAAGCACGCTTGTCATGGGGGTGTTTATGTACTTTTGTATGAGAAGAATCTTCAGATGATGGACAGGCGAAGTTTTTCTATCCCACAAGAACAACCAGAGTTGAGAAACAAGCGAAAGTTGAACTTCTTGGATGGTCCATCATTTTCTCACTTGAGAATTCAATGGTTTGTGTGTTATTGCTCTCTGGATCTGAATGAAACTCTTCACGGTGCACTCTAGAGGAATTCTAACATATTTTTTTAGAGTATCGTGTCGTTTTCCACGTTTGACAAAGAATCTCCATCTATATTTATTAAAATTCCGGGAATTTCGAAAATTCGGAAAAGGGAAAAGAAAATCAAAGGAAAACCATTGAACATTCTCGCGATGTTTAGACAATATCCTATTACTATTTCTGAATGCTGGAGGTAAAGAGCAGTGACTTTTTCTAATCGAGTAAGAGGCGAGGTCCTATTCGGGTCAAACTTAACCTGAGGAGCCAATTGGATGAAGAAGAGTGGTTTACGGAGATCGTGAACTCACCTGATGGACATGGTGGTGCAGGCGGCCTGACATGAAGGCAGCACAGGTCAAAAAGCAGCCCATTGCTTCAGTACTGCAGCTCGTTCTAAAGTTGAAGAATGTGGTGGTGGACCTTTTGGAGTTGAGGAGATGGATCAAAGAGTTTGCAGAGAGTGCAAGATGAAATGAACAGTCACACTGAATTCAACAAGAACCTACATAAGATGTATATAGTGATGGGTCTTGAATGCCACGAGGCCATGCATATTGACTGCACTAACTTTGAGATTACATTGAGTAGTTGCGAATGTGAGCAGAAAAATTCCGTTGGAGTAAACTCTTACTAGAAAGGTAGACATCCTCAAAACAAAAAGACAATGCTAGCAGTGTAGGTGGTGTGTTAGAGTTAGATGCTTGAAATTGTTTACATAGAAGTAACAAAGTGAAGATGTTCACGTTTTTTGTAATGCAAGTGTTTGTTTTTTAAACTTTAAGTGTCCTCATTGTAGAAGATAAATTTGAGAAGTTAATTTTTGTTGAACTGAGTTGTCCAAATATAGTTCAAAATTGTGAACTGATTAAAGTATTCAGTGACATTGTAAGTTGGAAAACCGAGTAGGACTTCCTCAAAGTTACAATTTTCTTTTGTCATAGAGTATATCTACTTCATTGGTAAGTTTTTAACTTTAAGCATTTCAATGTGTAATTAAAGTATGGTGCTTGATTGCTTAGTTTTTTGTCAAATTGTATTTCAATAACACAATTTGATGGTGTTGTACTGTACAACCCTTGTTGTAATGTAATTGTCAATAGTTTCTTAGAGAAGTATAAACTTGCATTTTTCCTCTTTAAAAATAGAGTTCACTAGTAATCTAGACTCAAATTAACTATACTGATCATTGTTGTTTGCAACTTGGTTTTTCTACTTTGAAAGTCATCAGTAAACCAATATGGTAGCTTGAAGCTATTTAGTGGAAAATATGTTATGACTCTAGGCGATCACAGATAAATATTCTTCCAAGATGCAGCTTTACTAATTCCTATAAAGAGTTTATTGAGTCGAATGAGAGAAATATATTTGTTATATCATGTTATGTCTAAAATAATTCTAGAATGTTTAATCAAAGTTACAATAAAATCAATTAGAGAAATAATCTATAATAGCAATCACATTTACTTTTATGAAACAAGAATCTATTAAATAACATCACATTTTATACTAATGTCTTAAGATCTACCAATGATGTTTGATTTGAAGCCCTTCAAGATTTATTTCAAATGCTGATTTTTATAAATTATGACAACAATGAACTTGCCTTTATTAATTGTTTGATATGATGATACGTTACCTGTTGAATAAAATATGATGAATTTTGCTTTTCTACTTCTATGCTTTTCCATGTATCATAATAAATTCATATAAAAAAAAGCATATAATTATTTTTTTGATAGAATTCTTTTTTCAAGTGTAATAAGATTTTCCTTAATCAATAGGTAAATTTTTCTGAATGAATAAGAGCCACTATTAAAGTCATAATATTCAAAAAAGAATCAGTGTACAAATTTATCGATTTACTTCAATCAGTAAAAAATTGTTGTATCTCATTAAGACTACTACTTTTTTTAGACTAATACTTCGTTTTTTAATGCTAATAATTACTAACTTTTTACTAATACATATTTTTCTTTACATCTCTCTCGGGATTATATGTGCCCGAGTTTACTACAACAGATGGAAATTAATTGTTGTCCAAGATGATGATAACGACTATGTTGAATGGTCAAAGATTCAGAAACGTGGATCAAACGCGTTTCACGGAGATGCTATGTTCCTGCATTCTTTGAGAGAAGGATTGTTAGAGAGTAGGACACGAGAGCGTAGGACTCCGTAGTTTTGTCTTGAAAAAGCTGTTTTTTGTTTACTCTTGAGCTCGAGTACAATTCTTCGAAATATGTATAAGGAGTATCAATTATCTCCAAATAAGGTAATAATATATATGTAAAGTATCATCAAAAATATTATTTTATTATTATTGTAAAATTTTTTTAATGGAAAAATTGAAATGATTATAATACTAGAGATGTTATTTCGATGTTCAGATCCTAAATGATACAAATTCCCTTACTCTATAGAGGAGTAGTGATCGTAAATAGTGATTATCTTAGAAGTGTATCTTACATGTATCGCTTTGAAAAACTACAACGGAAACACAACTCTCGCATCTGACGGCTGTGGGATTTGAACCCACGCCCTTTCGGACTGGAGCCTAAATCCAGCGCCTTAGACCACTCGGCCAAACCGTCACATGATACAGATGAAACACACAAGTTTATATCAATATATAAATTTGTATATTACGTCATCCCTGCAAAGTGTATGTTTTTTGCGTTAGACAATATTACACCCATAATAAAGATGCAAACTCCTCCATGCGAAATCTTCATATAAAGGGAGCTTTTCTAGAGTCGTGACCAACAGTGATCAGTCTACTCGGTAAGGCACGAACCAGAAAACATCTACGGGGACTTGTTATTTGTATGTGTAAAATTCACCTTCAAGTGATCACTTCAGTAAATCACACTTTACTTAAAACAAGTTAGTTCTGATAGAATTTCAAAAATATGAAGGAAAGATACTCAAGATTTTTAAGATTTCTCGATGTAATAATGATATAAAAAATGGCTTAGTTTATTTTACGAGATTCTCTATCTATAGTTCTCAAAAATATTGTATTGATATATTTTCACACCATCTTTCAATCAATTCATTGTGCTTGGATAACATGACAAAGTTCACTAGCAGAATAATATGGTAACTTGTAATTACAATCAACTTGTCAACCATATAGATGTTGATATGTGAAATTTAAGTGTTACTTGATATGTAACTTTGTGGTACCCCACTTTTGGTATTTTTGAGGAAATTAAAACATTTTTGGAAAACTGTACCGCGGCAGCAGTGTAAATAGCCTTCGGTTCATCAAAACAGAATGAAATCAGAAGATCGCAGAGATTCTCGAGAGAACTCGTAGAATCCAGGAGTGGGATGCAACGTCGGGGACGGACACCACCCTCCATGCGGGGTCTGAAGGTATAACCCCTCCGGCGCAAGGCGCAAAATCTGCCTTCGGCGCTGCGCCTTCGGCACTAGAGGAGTCCTTCAGAATGTGGTCAATTCCCGAATGCCTCGACTTGGTTAGGGCCTCGTTGGAAAGAGCTCGACGCGCTGATTCTAACGAGCCCAAGAACGCCACAAACGGATGAGGACTCCGGGAGTTATGAAGGTCGCAAGATACTCAGCTTTCCGCCTCCGAGTAGGCGAGGAAAGTTTGTCCTATGCGCGGACGAAGGCAGTTCGCCTACGCGTAGGCGAAAATAGGGTTTGACGTAGGCGCGATGTCCGCCGCGAATGTCACCTACGCGTAGGCGAGGAAACCTCTGCCCAAGCGGACGAGCGAAGTTTGCCTACGCACAGGCGCTTCGGCGTCGGCGGGAAATCCGCCTTCGGCCTTAGAAATGCGCCTTCGGGGTTAGAAAGTGTACGGCGCCTTCCGTGCCAGCGCAGCAGCGCGGACGGGCGATGAACCACCGGAGTAGTAAAATCCGTACGGACCGTACGGACTGTACGGACGGAACGGATGGATGCGCCTTCGGTCGGACGAAGTTACGGCGGCAGGAGCGCCGACGGAGAGGCAAGAAATGGACAGACTGGATGGAGCCTGTTGACCACGGTCAACGCCTTCGGCGCCAGCACAGCAACGCGGACGGAATTCGCCTACGCGTAGGCGAGCGCCTACGCACAGGCGGAGGAAGTTCCGCGCCGGCGGAGATTCTGCCGGGGATTCCGCCTACGCAGAAGGGAGTTCAACTTTTGTCCGATGCGCGGACGATCGCCTTCGGCGGAGGGGGATTGGCCGAGGAGTGGTACGAATGAGTGTAGCGCGCAAGGCGAGAAATCCGCCTTCAGCGCTGCGCACCCATGTCCGCAGCGTAGTACGCTAGCGGAGTTCAAATTTGCCAATTTGAGCGTGTGAGTTAAATCGGCGTCGGCAGAGCGTGAAGCCGCGCGTGAGAGTGGAGACCGTTTTAGCGCAGAGCCAGCGCGGCCATCAAGTGATTTGACCCTCACGACCGAGAGCCGACCGTGACCTTCGACCAGGAGACGGAGGGCGCCCCATTCTTGAATTCGCGATTTCATTTTCTAGTGCGAGCTGCGCTGTGGTACCCCACTTTTGGTAATTTTGAGGAAATTAAAACATTTTTGGAAAACTGTACCCTGGCAGCAATGTAAATAGCCTTCGGTGCATCAAAACAGAGTGAATTCGGAAGATCGCGGAGATTCTCGAGGGATCTCGTAGGATCTAGGAGTTGGGTGCAGCAGTAAGGACGGGCACCACCCTCCCTGCGAGCCCTGCAGTTAGGATCCCTACGGCGCAAGGCGCAGAACCCGCCTTCGGAGCTGCGTCCGCGGCGGTAGGGAAACCCTTCATATTTAGGTCAACCCCCGGACGCCT